ATTTGAGCATCGTAGCCAACAATGTAGCCTATGAGGGCACGAGGAGTGAGCTTATCACCTCGCGGTATCTGCGTGCGTAGTGCGTATGCTCAGCAGCCATATATTTTGAGATGAGCTATTGAAGGCTTCTTGCAGTACGCTATTTCAAATAGTGTTTTCCAGCTAAGAGATCGCGTAGGTGTGCGATTGAGAAGATATCCTGCAGTGACATATGTCTCCGGAGCAAGATGGAGTGGTAGTTTTGAAGTGCTCATCATGGATCGTGAGCAGTCAATTAGAGTCTTTCCCGATCTTTCTGCAGAGCCATTCTGCTCTTTTGTATGTGGAGCTCTGATCTAGAATCTAATTCCTTCTTACTAACAGTATGCACGCGCTGAGTCGTCTGTTAGACCATAGCCTCGTTCGTCGTCGGCTATTATGAATGTGACAGTAGTATTAAACTCCCGTTTGATCGTCCGATCTAGGCGAGTGATCACTTCAAGTAGAGTTTCCTTGTCGCGTTTTGGAATTGAGTATACGAAGTTAAACTTCGTGTATAGGTCAAATGCATGGAATACGTATCAATGCCTATTGTAGCCTATGACGTCGAGCTTGATAATATCAATTGCAACTGTCTCGAACGGACGAGATGCACCGACCTCATGTCCCGTACGACGAGAGATGATCTGATGGGCTTTGTTCTGTGAGCATGCTTCGCAGTCGATTGTACGTGGTGCAAAGCCTGTAGATGGTTGCTGGATGCCCTGGACGTTTTCTGCTAGATGATCGATAGCATCACTGCCTGCATGTGCCATGAGGACATGAAGCTGAGGCTTGGTAAGTGCTCGAGGTTTGAGAGGTTGGGCTGAATATTGAGGCCTGCGTTAATTAGCTGCAAAAGCTGCATATTAAGCAGATTGGATTGGTGGAGGCTAGGTGCAATGCACGACTAGCCAATGGCCTCCTAATCGGGTAAGGCTTACAACATCCTCGCGAGCATCTTTGACAGCTCTATACAGGACATTTCTTCCTGAGTCGAAGTGGATATTTGATGAGGAGAGGCGGGATAGCGAGACAAGGCTGGTGAAGAAGGATTGGATCAGAGCCACGCGCTTAAGCGTAGTTCTCTTGATACCACTTGGTGTTGATAGAGGCAGCTTGACTTCACCCCATGCCTCAATTTTCGTCTTAGTTCCTCCTGCGAGTACGACGTCGTCGTCAGCTGCTGGAGCTTTCCACTCAAACTCTGCAGGGTTGTTGCAGATATGAATATTGGTGGCTGGATCCAGCGTCTATGAGTGGGCGAGTGGATATTGTTGAGCTACTCTCTGGTTGTTGAACGCGGAAAAGAAAACGGCATATGCTTCGTGCTGTAGGGATTGTTCAGCTAGTGGGTCTCCTGCGTCAATTTCTATCGAATCAGAGTCTGTCGCTTTGTTGTGCTTGTTGGTATCCCTAGTCTTGGATTTCTTGAAGCGTCGATTCTTTTCCCAAATCTTGTTTAGTATCCCACAATTATCCTTGGCCTCAAAATCAGCAATCTTCTTGGCTTTTTCAGGGTCTACAACAAATCCTCGTTGCTGGAGTGCCGTATCGATGTATGGGCATTGGCCCCAGAAATGACTGTCGCCGCAGAGACAGGGCTTTTCTGGCTTATTTTCACTGTCTCTTGATCGTTTCTTGTTGTTGTACGGAGATGACTGGCCATTCATCGTTGCTCCAAAGGCACCTCCATGGATATTTGCTTTTCTTGAGTAGGTCGTACGGTGATAGCGCAGGTATTCGGCAAGAACAGTAGAGAGCTGGGATTGATGAGGTATCGGCTTGCTGCGATCTGAGTTCTAGATTTCTTTAGCTTTGAATATATCAAGTAAAGCGCTAGCAGCGTATGCAGCGTCAACTTGCTTGATCGCTTAGATAAGATCCTTATAGGCTCTAAATCCGTGTACTTTAGGCAGATTAAGTTATTTTGCTCTGCTATATGCTGTAAGAAACTCGTTGCACTAGTCTTCAACATTTGATCGTCGAGCATGTAGAATCTTGGCCGCTTCGTAGTCCTTCTGCACTCGATATTCCATATCGGACGTAGTGGGAGAGAAGAGATCTTGGAGCGTCTTGATTTGATCGTGGACTGTTGTCTTGTCTTTAATGTGATATAGTAGTTCCTGTTGTATAGTCTTAGTGATATGCGCTTCTACTTGGCCTAACTTATCTCGAAGACGTCTATATTCTTTTATTTCTTTGTAGTAGCTACTGCGATCCTGGTTGTACTGCAGTAAGTCTTGCTGAGATGGTAGAGTTGCAGGTGATCCGTCGACATTGGTGATAGGCGCTGGCCTAGTAGGCTGAACAGGCTTTTGCAGAGGATTGGATGGTTTGTTGGGATTAATGTATTCCTATACGTCTCCTGCTTCGGCAATACGCTTGACGATAAAGAACCAAAGCTCCTAGTTGCTTTGTCCTTGAAGGATAATATCTGAATGAATAGTGTGCGCTGACATGATGGTATAGGTAGGTAGGTAGTCAATTGATTGCAGTAATATGCGGATTAGGCCGGGCTTATAACTGTAAGCAGTTGAGTGTGTGTGAAGTCTTGTGTATTCTGATGTGTATCATGATAGGAGCAAGTTTAAATACGGTGTTATTAGTCAGTGGGCAACCACGTGACCATACATGGTACTTCTGGGCTTACATATGTTGTTGTAGAGCTATCGCGTAGAGAGTCGCGTCAAGTTAGGTGGGGTGCGCAGCTTACTGGGGTGCGCAGCTTACTAGTGGAACACAGTAAGTATATTCGCTTCAGGAGACTCATTTGCGCACCCTGCTCTAGCAAAGCACCACTCGTATATATAGCGTTCAGTGGTAACCCGAAATCTACCCACTTATTAATCTGCCTTTCCAGTAGTTACATAACCTTGCTTCCATAATAAACTCCTTCTACAATATCTTCGTTACCAGAAGTCACTATGCTCAGCTTCAAGCTCATCAGTGTCCTCGCACTCGCACTCTCCGTTCCAGGAGCCATAGCACAAGGTGACGCCCAAGTACGTTGCAAGGAGACCTACCCTGCCCTTTTCCCTTACCAAGTTTAACTTTGGACAATTAGTGCACCTCAAACGAGGTTTGCAAGCAGAATTTCAGTGGCCGATGCGGTAAAAGTGACGCTACCTGCCAGTGGAACTCGTATGCAAACGGATACTTTTGCACGTGCTAGACTCTAAGTATGCTCTTTTTGGTATAGCACAGCTTTGCAAATGACTGCTCACAGTCTACTAAAAACCCAAGTAAAATAGCCAAAAAATAATTAAAAAGATGAAAATTGCAGTCGACTATTCTATTGATAGTCTATTACTTCTACATGCTTAACACATATCCCTGTGTGACATGAAATTCTATATACCGAGGGTTACTCATGGGATCGCGACCGCTACGGATTCTAGGGTACAGCGACAGCTTATACTACAAGCAGAATAGTGGAAACTGTAGTCTACAAATCTATTGTATCGCCCGCAGTTTGAGGTCTCGAAGAATTAAGGTGCTTGACGCATGCACAGATTCTGTGCGAGAGTAACCTTCTACGCGCGCTTCCGTGTCTTGGATGTTGTATTCTTATAATACGGTTGCAAAAGTCGAAGCACCTAGTGCTGCGCCCACACTAATAGTAACACTTTTGCCGAGACGTTGTTCTAACTGGAAATATGAATGTTCGGGCTAACTTCGCAATTACTTTTATATACAAAAAACAGTGATAGGCCGTCTATCAGCACGTATGATGTGTCTTCGATATGGTTTCCAGCCCAAAGACCAAATTGAAAAAAAAACATTACAATGTATAACTAGCCCCACCACAAAGTGCGCGCGACCACAAAGTGCGCGCGCGCCTTACAACCACCTCAACCTCAACGCGTCGTATCCCCACCACCATGGCTAATATTGAGGCTGCGCTTGCAGCTATTAATGCCCTAGGACCTGATGAGCCTTTTTCGTATACAGATATTGCAAAAAAATATAGTGTTGTTTGATCTACGCTTACCCGAAGACACCAAGGCCTACACGCCTCACGCGCGATAGGTGGCCAAAAACGGCAGCTCCTCCACCCACAGCAGGAGCAGGCCCTAATCGCCTATATCAATCGACTAATAGATAGAGGCTTACCACCTACTCAGCCAATGATACGCAATTTTGCCTCACAGATCGCCAAGACTGAGGTTGGAGTACACTGGGCTAGTCGCTTCGTCCAGCGCTATCCTGATCAACTTACCTTAAGGTCGGG